GTTCGCGTTCACACAGCAGCTGGTTATGGAACCAACCAAAACAGAGTTCGCCGACTTACTCTTCCTCAGCTATGCTGATGATACGTATATCCTGGGGCCTAGGGAGCGGGTTTTAGCAGCCTATGAGGCCTTGCGGGAACGACTGGACGGGCTGGGTTTGGAGGTGCAGCCGCATAAGTGTAAGCTATGGGAGCGAGGGAGGAACCAGGATGGGGAGGAGAGAAATGAGACCGTCCCGCCCGGCATGCAGCAGACATGGACGGGGCTCACTGTGGTAGGGGTCCCCATTGGGGAGGAGGACTGGGAGGTGGCTAGCCTGCGTCGCCGGCTGACGGAGCTGCATGCACCTGTCCCTTGGCTTCCTCTGCTTGACCACCCACAGATTGCGTCCCATTTGCTGGCGATCGCAGTGTCAGCGCGCCCGATTTACCTCACACGGACGATGCCTCCACGACCTGAGGTTGTGGAGGCTTTTCGGGACTGGGACACGAAGCTGGAAGATTGTTTCGAGGAGCTGTTTCCAGATAGTACCTGGGATCACGATTCGGGGAAGTCTCAGATGGCTCGTTTACAGCTGCACCTTCCTGCCAGACTCGGAGGGTTTGGCATTCGATCTGCAGCTGACCTTAGTCCTCTGTCGTATGCATGTGGCTGGTGCCAAGCAGTGAGCGATGTGGCTCGGTTGGGGGTGGCAGGTGAGGAGCGGATGTTTGAGGAGTTTTTCCGCACGCCCGAGGCTACGACCTTGTTGGACCCCTGGTTTGCGAGAGCAGTGGATCTGCTTCCACAGTCGGTCCGGCAGGAGATGCCACCCCTTGCCTTGTGCACTGCTGACCCCCCTGTGCTGCTCTTCTCCACACAACACCGTCGCCTAGCGGTTGAGAGCCTTCAATCTCTTCGAGGCATGGCCCACAACGATGCCACCTTGGCCCGTTTGACATCCCTTCAGGGCCCGGGGGCTGGGGCGTGGGTTTCTGCCGTTCCTTCGCACGAGGAGGCTACCTTCACCGCAGCCGAGTGGAGCATCTGCGCGTCCATGCGCTTAGGCCTCCCTATACAGCAGCTGATAGTGGCCGGCAAGTGCGCGTGTGGGTTTGAGTTTGCTGATCCCTCTGACCCGCATCATGCCCTTCGCTGCAAGTATCAGTATGCACCTTCTCGTGTTCACGATGCGGTTAAGTTTGTGGTGGCGAAGATAGCTAAGGGTGCGGGTGGGATTGTGACCATGGAAGACGACACGTTGCTCCCAGGGAAGAGGGTTGATGTGGCGGTTCGGAAACTGAGGGAGGGGGAGGAGCACGCGCTGGAGGTTAGTGTGGTAGACCCTATCTCGCTATCCGCGCAGCACCATGGACAGATTGGGCGCAAGGTGGGTTTTGCCGCGAGAGAGAGAGAAAAGCGGAAGGCGGCGGACTACAAATCGCTTCTACAGCGGCATAGGGGAGTGCAGTTCACACCTCTCATTGCTGAGACATGGGGATGCTTGGGGGGGAGTTTTGGACGGTGGCTTAAGAAGCAGGGTGACGCGCAGATCGAGATAGCAAAGACGAAAGGGGCGGCGCGAGCTACGGGAAAGGGTTTCTCGGCTTATTTGTGTCAGAATATTATGCTCTAGCCTGTAGTGGGGTGCTCTATAGCGAGTACAACCCTTCTAGGGTTTGCTATTTGTACCCCCATTCTTGCTAGTTCATCCCTCCTCTTTTGCCCATTATCTTGACATGGTATCAGAGCAGGTCGATCCCTTTGGATCGATCCTGTGGGTGGGCTCACCACCTCGTTGCTTCCGCTGCAACTTCCGCTGCTACTCTATGTGCCGCACGCCCCGTGGCGTGCGGCAGTTTATTCTTCCCGCCGTGCGCCCCGAGGCGCGCGGCGGTTTTCTGCCCGCCGTGCGCCCCGTGGCGCGCGGCGGTTCTCTGCCCGCTGTGCGCCCCGAGGCGCGCGGCGGGCTTCTGCCCCGTCACTCGACGCGTCGCCCCCGGGAGGCGTTGCGACGGGCGACGGGGACCCGCGCGTCGCCCCCCGTCGCCCGTCGTGGCCTGCGCGCGGCCCGTACGGGCTGCGCCAGGCCTGCGCGCGGCCCGTACGGGCTGCGCCAGGCCCGCGCGCGGCCCGTACGGGAAGCGCCAGGCCCGCGCGCGGCTCGGGCCGCCTGCGCGCGGTTCGGGCGGCTATACCAGGCCCGTGGGCGGCCCGTTCCTCGCTGCTCCTGCCCTCTCCACTGTCCCCCGTGCTTCTACCGGCGCCCCACCCCTCCTACAGCCCGTTCTCCTGAATTAGGGTTTGGGGGTGAAGAGTGTGGGGGTGGCGGCTATGGGGGTGTCGGTTGTGAGTTCCTCCCCCTGCTCCTCCTCCTCCCTCGTCTCCCTCTGCTACAGCTGCCGCTGAGGGGGGTGGTGTGTGGGAGCCTAGGGTTTGGGGTTTAAGGGGGGTACCGTCGGAGTGGAGCTAGGGTTTGAAGCAGAGGGTGTGTGTCGAGGGGTGTGGGACAGTTGGAGGAGGTTGAGCGGAGGCCGCCGTCGTGTCGTCCGCAGCGCCTGTATTCCGGGGTTCGATTAGCCACCGGTAGCTCAGAGAGCCGGTTGCGCCGTCGCCTGTGGGTCCGTTGCTCCTGCCGCGCATATTAGCCGCGGAGCCTGTTACTCCTGTACTCCGGGGCACTCATTCCCGGTAGCCACGTTGTCGCACCAGAGCCGTCTGTTGCCCGTGTGTCTGCAGCTTCAGTCGTCGTCTCCAATCTTCTCTCCTCTCGCCAGCCCTCCTCCTCCTCACTTGCCCCCCTGTGACTGCCTCTAGCTTTGCTCATAATTTGAACCTTAAACTATTGCTTCTTGAACTTGTGCTCAGAATGTGTGGTGACATTGTGATCCACCCTGAGCTTGTACTGCTTTGTTTGCTCTGCTGATTACACCCCACTTTGGCTATGGGGGTGTGTCAGAATATTATGCTCTAGCCTGTAGTGGGGTGCTCTATAGCGAGTACAACCCTTCTAGGGTTTGCTATTTGTACCCCCATTCTTGCTAGTTCATCCCTCCTCTTTTGCCCATTATCTTGACAATTTGCTCGGTTCACTCAAAGCGGCCGTGGGTGTGGCTTTGCAGCGGGCTCAGGCGAGGGTGATCTTGTTACGCGAGGCGTCGAGGATGAGAGGTCCAGAGGCTGTTTGGGTGGAGCGGGAGGATGTTGAGGAGGAGATGGGATGGGATGCTCCGTGGGCGGATGCACCCTACTTGGTAGACATGCGGGTTTAGAGGGTGGGTTTAGGGGGGGGGGTTTGGTTCGATGGGAGTGCAGTTGGGGTGTTTTGATGGGATGGTTTGATGGGGTTTCAATTGTGTGTGCTATTGGGGTTTTCTTGATGTTGTGTCTTGTGTTTTTTCTTCCCTTTTCCCGGGTTTTCCTCCTTCGACCATTTTCTCCCTATTCCCTTCCTTCTTTCTTCTTCTTTCCTTTTTTCTCCTCACGTTATTTAGTGTCAAGTAGATACTGTATTTACATATACATGTATATAAAACCAAATAATCTGTACAGAAAAAGAATTACATAAAGATTCTTCTTAACATTCAGAATCTGTAAACAAAACGACCACACCCATTCATTTATGTAACCCTAAATTATATGTCAAATGTATATGTAAATAGCAGTAATTCATCAAATATCAAAGTCATGTTACGATATTATATAATTTTCATTATAGGTCAAGTGCATCTAAAAATTACAGTGTAATGTTGCTTCGCAACCCGAAGACGATTTCGTCGCCTCTTGTTTTTTTTTTTTGGGTTGCGAAGCAACCTATTACGATCGTTATGTACAATTTTTTTTTCAACCTCGAAAAAAAAAATAAAATAAATATAGTGAACGGTAGTTATGGTAAGTGATTGACTGCTACGGTATGTATTTGCCTCGGCAATTCGCCACATTCGTTCTCATTTCCTAGTTTGCCTCGACTGAACCTACCCGTATATTGTATGGATCAAACATGAACATGTGTTGCCGAAATGATGTTACTGTGAACGCATGACTGTCTATTCCGTACCATGTTATGCATAGATGAAGTATAATGATGGATATGGTGAACCAAATATTGAATGAACAATGCATAAATATAATGCATATGCTACTGTGGTAAATATACCATAGTATATTTTCCAGCTTTAAGTCGTAGTTAAATGAATGCTTAGCATGATGGAAATGCGTAACAGTTAATTGACACAGGCTCTATGCTACCGCATCCCCTGCCTAGCATGGGGGGGAGCTCAATAGCATAGTTTCTGAATCATCCAACCGTTACATGAAACAACACAATCTGTGTAAATTAAAAAAATGATCAAGATCCATCAAATCCAGTTCAAGTGGACACACTCACTGAGTGCGCAAAGAACCTTCTCGGAAATGATGGTTTGACCATCTTTTTAAAACCCACAGATCCGCATTGTTAATGCGATGACAGATGCATACGGATGAGTGTGCACACACAAAGACACGCCCTGACACACATACCGATATGCACACAACTCAGACAGAATCCGTTCACACACAAAAGGGCAATGCAAAAAAAAACAGTAAAAACAATAAAACAAATGCAAACAAGATTTATCAATACAATACAGCTCTACAAGTCACAACTATTATCATTACACTTCATAAGAAATCCTGGCAGCGCGCAGGAAATAGCAAAGCCTCGGGGGGGGGGGGGGGAGGGGAGGGAAGGGTGGTGGAGGGAAAGAGAGGGGAGGGAGGGGAAGTTTAGATTCTCGTCCAATAAACAGCAAATAAGAGGAAGGCTTAGGACAAGCGAGCTAAATATAGAAAACAACTTGTAAAAAGGCGATTAACCTATTGCGATGGGTTATAAAAAAAATCCTATTAACGGTTATAAAAATCAAGAGAAAAAAATGAAACACGACTGAAATAACACGATCTGAAATAAAGGGAAAACGATCTAAGTAACACCAGGAAATGAGGAGGCAGAAAGCAGACTTACAAAAAAACAATGACCGTTAAAAAAAATGGAAAGGAAACGAGAAAAAAACGTGAGAGAAAAAGAACGAGAGAACGAGAACGAGAGAACGAGACAGAATGGAAAAGAGAGAACGAGAAAGAGAGAACGAGACAGAACGGAAAAGAGAGAACGAGAGAGAGAGAGAGAGAGAGAGAGAGAGAGAGAGAGAGAGAGAGAGAGAGAGAGAGAGAGAGAGAGAGAGAGAACGAGAGAGAGAGAACGAGAGAGAGAGAACGAGAGAGAGAGAACGAGAGAGAGAGAAAGAGAGAGAGAGAGAGAGAGAGAGAGAGAGAGAGAGAGAGAGAGAGAGAGAGAGAGAGAGCGAGAGAGAGAGAGAGAGAGAGAGAGAGAGAGAGAGAGAGAGAACGAGAGAGAACGGGAGATAGAGAACGGGAGAGTGAGAACGGGAGATTGAGAATGGGAGGGAGAGAGAGAACGGCAGAGAGAGAACGGAAGAGAGAAAACGAGAGAGCGAGAGAGAACGAGAGAAAGAGACAGAGAGAGAGAACGAGAAAGAGAGAACGAGAGAGAACGAACGAGAGAACGAACGAGGGATAGAAAGAGAGTTCAATAAACTACGTTTTCGAAAAAAAAAAAATCTATGTAGCATATGGGGACAAAAACAGATTTTAAGAACGAAAAAACAATGCAGCTACGAATAGAAGGAGAGGCTCATCGAAGAGTCAGAAGAAGGAGAAGGAAGGTGAAGAAAGGATACAGAAAAAAGGTAACGGAAACCAAGACAAACGTCACTAGATGCGGAATCTTTTGAAAGGAAGGAACAGCTCGATAAAATCTCAATAAACGGAATGACCGAGATCAGAAAGGAACGAACATGGGACTGGAAGGAAAAAATAAAAAGGGAAAAACAATAACTGGAGCATATAAATAGAGACATCGCAAGGTAAGACGAGAGGTAAGAGCGCGATAGGGAATGAAAAGAAACATGCAGCCTTATTAACGACCTAAGGAAAGCTGACGTCTTTACAAAGGCCTGGAACTTAGGCTTTAACTGCTAGTTAAAACGACCAAATGCGGAAGTAAGCGAAGATCTTAGTCTAGCTCGTAATCTTCTAACATAGTCTCTAATTAAACACTACAAGTCTTCTCACCTTTAGGAGATAGCAGCAGATGGAGCGTGAGTATGGGGCTGATATGAAGAACTGGGCTCCACTCACGAGTGGGAGAGACAAAGAAAAAAGGGACATTGAAACCCTAGAGTAGTTAAAATTTCGTCGCGCAAAAATTGTACGATATATTTAAATAAGGCATACGTTTGTGTCGATTGTGGCGCAGTTGTAAGGAAGTCTGTTGGAAACCGAAAGGTCTCCAGTTCGATTCCGGAACACACCATTAGCGGTTGTTGGAAACAGACCAAAACGATGTTGGAACAAGTTTTTGTACAGTCTATTAGCTTTACAGGTTAAAGTGCTTTTGCAAAATGCTTCGCAACCTTAAGACGATTGCGTCGCCTCTTTTTTTTTTTTTTTTGTCGAAGAGGAGGAGCTTGCTTGTGGATCAGTTGTACAGTACTTATGGATAGAAAGAGGAAAAGGGAAAGAGGGAGAAGGAAAAGGGAAAGAAAGACACCAGAAACAACTCAAACGCAACACCCATAAAAAGCCCCATAAAAATACTCCATAAAGAAAAAAAACCCAACCAGGATCCCCTACCAGACGTCCCATCTCGCACACCATTCCCCCTCCCCCCCCTCCCCCTCCCCCCCCAAGTCACATCTGCACATCCACCATGTAGGGGGCCTCCACCCAAAGAGGCCCGCCCTCCACCTCGACATCGTCCCTCTCCCGATCCACCAAGTCCACATTCAACCCCCCCATGGAAGACGCCGCCCGAAGCAGGATGACACGAGCTTGCGCCCGTTGTAACGCCACTCCGATGAGCGCCTTCAGAGACCCCAAAAGGTAAGCCGAGAACGAAGTGTCATCCTCCCGACAAGCCCCCCGTGACACAGCTAGCCCCACGTGCGCGTCCCCCTGCTGTCGAAGCCACCGCCGGAAGCGACCGCCGAGACACCCCCACGTCTCCACTATCAAAGGGGTGAACTGCACGCCTCGGTTCCGTGCAAGAAGAGGCGCGTAATCCCCCGTTTTGCGACGCTCCCACTCCTTTGCCGCCACGCCTATAGACCGCCCGCACTGCCCTAGCAGAGATGGAGACAGTGATAGCGGGTCCGCGACACTAATCTCTAAAGCATGAGTAATTTTTTTCGTTTACTCTGATGATTATGCATTGTATGTTATTTGTTGTTGCAGTGCAGTTCAAGAAATGTCGAATATTAAAACTTCATATATAGGTTGTACAAGGCCTAGTACCACACCACAGGCTCACTCATCGTCTGCCACGTCATCCTCCCGTTCGTCGTCCATGCTGGCCTCAGGCTTGCCCTTGTCCTTGGCAGACGTTGGAGAGCAGTGTTGGTGGAAGAAACATAATGGGAGGACAGGTGGGGGTTCGGTGGTGACCCCGTCTGCCAGCCGAGCAAGAAGGGGGGGATGTGCGCTCCGCGCACGAATTCAGTGCACCACAGGAAGCTGCCGTATCATGCCCGTAACTTTGAGTTGTTCATTGCTGATGGTGTACGCAAAGCCAGCGAGGTAGATAGTGGGTGGCCATTTGAGTGCGCTGGCTCGAAACATGCCATTCCGGCCAATCGGAGCCTCAGGTTGTGCCAACACACGGGCGAAACAAGACCGATATCCCCTGCGCTCCGGTCCAGATCGGCAGCGAGGGGATAAGGGGGTGTCAGAATGAAGAATGGATGATGCATTGATGTTGGTTGGGGTACATATAGCTAACCCTAAGTTTTGTACCCCCTAAGACAAACCTCACTATAGGCTACAACATTTGACACACCCCCATAGCCTAAGTGAGGGGTGTCTAGCAGAACCAAACGAGTACGGTCACAAGACCAGTCCAAGAAACGAAGCTCAGGGTGGATCACAACGTCACCACACAGTCTGAGCACAAACAACAGTGGCCACAAGGCCAGTCCAAGAAGTAACAGAGGTATATAGAAAGCAAAGTAAACAGTACACTCAAGTCTAAGCAACACGAGAACCAGTGTCAACAAGGCCTAACTGCACACAGCACCTCTGGTGGTCACAAGGCGGAAGCGCCTTGGTGAAGATGTCTGCAGTGTTGGCCTCGGACTCCACAAACTCAAAGCGAGCCTGTCCACGCCTCTGCAACTCTCGCAGAAGAAAGTACCTGACGTGAATGTGCTTCACTCTGCTCTCCAGTCGTGGCTCTCGACAAAGGAGAATAGACGCCTTGTTGTCAGTGAACAAGGTCGGTGCAGAGCTCGGCCGCTCACCAAGGTCGGTGAGCAAGAAGGTCAACCAACGCAGCTCCTGTGCCGCCATGGCACCAGCGTAGATCTCAGCCTCAGCTGTAGAGGTCGAGACCGAAGAGGAGCGCGTGGACCGCCAGGAAACAGCTCCAGAACCCAGGCTGAAACAGTACCCCTGAGTAGACCTGTGAGTCTCAGCGTCGTCAGCGTAAGAGGAGTCACAGTGACCAGTAAGTACGACAGACTGCTGCCCTCCAAGAACTAGCCCCACGCCTGACGTCGTCGCTAGGTACTTCGCCACCCTCACAGCTGCTGTCCAGTGAACAGGACGGTGTCTCCCTGGCGCAACAAAGCGCGCAAGAACGCTGAGAGGGAAGGCGAGGTCCGGGCGAGTACAAGTCATCAGGTACATGAGGCAACCCACAAGCTCAGCGTAGGGACCACTAGGCTCGAACGGCTCGTCAGGAAAGGGTCCAGTGAGTCTGTGGTCAACAGCAAGAGGTGTGCGCTGTACTGTGGAGTGCTGAAGCCCGAACCGCTGAAGGACCTGCTGCACCATGTGCGACTGTGAAAGTGTAATGGTGCGAGCAGCTCTGTCCCTGGTGATCTGCAGGCCAAGGTAGTGGCGCAGCTCACCAAGATCAGTGCAGGTGTGTCTCTTCTGCAGTTCGGACTTCACGTGTGCCAAAGCAACCCTGTCAGGGGTGGCGAAAACAAGGTCGTCAACGTAGACCAGAACAAAGAAAGGTGTGGGGCCACGACGAACGAACAGCGACGGGTCAGCAGAAGATGGCTGGAACCCAAGGTCAGACAGGGTAGAACGCAGGGTGTCGTGCCACTCACGAGGAGCCTGACGAAGACCGTAAACCGGTCGCCTCAGCCTCCACTGGGTCCCAGGAGGGAAAGAGCCAGTGAAGGCAGAGGGACGACGCAACCAGACCTCCTCGTGAAGACTGCCCTGAAGGAAAGCAGTAGAGAAGTCGAGAGAGTGTAACTCGTAGTCTCTCTGTGCTGCTACGTGTAGTAACACCCGAAGAGTGGTCATCTTCGGGGTGGGCGCGAAGGTCTGAAAGAAGTCAACTCCCTCGCGCTGACTGAAACCTCTAGCCACGTAGCGTGCCTTGAAGACCGGAGGAGATCCCGGTGGCCGCTTCACCCTGTAGATCCACATGCCGTCGACTACGTTCGCCCCCGGAGGGGGAACCTCATCGACGTAGGTGCCTGTGGATCTGTAGAAGGCCATCTCTGCGTCCATGGCAGCTCTCCACTGAGAGGCCCAAGGCCCTGACACTGCCTCAGCGTAAGTGCGAGGAGTCGGAATGTCAAGGGCGTCGGGGTCACCCTCAGGGGCGAGGAGCATGGCACAGAGATGAGGGGAAGCGGCCGCCAGGAACTCTAGCTCAAACTGCCTGTCCTCTAGGGCGTCACTGCCAAGGGCAGACACACCCCCGACGGCCAGAGGACTGGAAGGAGGAGCAGCCACAAGAGCGGTGGCGAAGTCAAGGCGGCGGGTAGAGGCAAACTCAGTGACTGCGGCAGTAAGAGCGGAGACAGAGGACAGAGAGGCACGAGGGTGGGTAACAAGAGAGGCGAGAACACGAGAGAGAACAGGACGGTACGTGCGGTAGTAGTCAGTGACAGGAGAAGGAAGCGACACAGTGAGGGCCGACTCAGGAGGAGACGGAAGCACAGACGGAGACGGACGAGGTGGACGAGAACAAAGGAAGGCTGTACGAAGGTCAGTGAAGGGAACAGGAGACGAGGGACGAGCACGAGGGGAGCGACGAGAGGCCCAAGTCTGAGAAGGAGGAGGAGACAACGAAGACTGAGAACGAGGGAAAACAGCGGGAGAGGGGTCAGGAGGAGGAAGCGGAGGACCAGAGACGGGAGGAGAGGGGGAGGAGGAAGGAGAGGGAGACGGGAGACCAAGGGTCCGAAGACCCGAGACAGGAGGAGGAGACGGCAGCAGCTGCTGCTGCGGCTGCTGCGGCTGCTGCTGCTCCAGCGGCTGCTGCTCCTGCTCCTCGAGCCGCTGCAACTCTCTCTCCTCTCTCTCCAACTCCAACTGCTCCTCACGAGCACGGCGAACACGAGCCTGGAACCTGGTCGGGTAGGGGTGGGGGGAAGGAGTAGTGTCCGGGGCAGCGGCAGCCCCAGAGTCGACCTCCGAAGCACCAAGCACACCACCCCCAGAGGCAGCACCAACACCAGCTCCAGACCCAGGCTCTCCAGAAACCGAAGGGACACCCTCACCCCCAGACGCAGCACCCCCAGACTCCGCACCAGCACCCCCAGACTCCGCACGACCAGTACCAGCCCCCGGAAGACAAGAGTCCTCTGCAACCCGCGGCTCAGCTCCAACTCCA